CTCCAAGAGACGTTAATAACATGATCCCACCTCTTTTTTAAAGAAGGGGATGAAATGGAAGCTACTCAATCATTTTAATAATTAACATTTTAATTTTGAAAACTTTTTCTATCGCTGCAACTGAAGATTGAATTCCGGCCCTTAATCTTATGAAATATATTTTTCCATATTCATATCTATTTTATCTGAATCCAGAGTTTATCACGGCAGCAGCTTTGTGCTGCGTCACTTTAACTAAGCTGGGAATGTTTCCCAGAATTCCCGGCTTTCACTCTTCTGGTTGAGGGTTGTAGGGAAGAGAACCCTGCATGAGCTGGGACGTCCCACGGGACACATCAGCCCTGTCTGGTGGTTGCTGGCACCCTGTGGCTTGCGCACCATGTTGCTGACCTCCGGCTCACCTTGTCAGTGCGGGGAGGGGAGCAATAAGTTTAGCCAGATCTCCTCCTACAACTTCCAGGCACATTGTTCTTGAAGAAGGACAGACACTTTCCTGCAGATGGCCTGCATGCATGCCTGGACCTGACACGGAGGAACAGATGCAAGCTGCAGTTTCTTCCCAGGGACTCAGATCCCATAGATTTCCCTCTAGTTTGAGTCCCGCTTTTCCTCTATCCTGCAGAGACTGCAGGCCACAATCAAATGCACAGTCAACATCTTCCCACAGACATCCTTCCACCAGCCTCCCTTCGCTTCCTCAGATTCTTTCACAATTGCTTGACCTCTAATTTCTGTATGAAATTCCTTACCTATGTCACCACAGTGGTTCTGCTGCTGGTGCCATTACGTGCACTGTTACAGATTACCCAGGCCTTTATCTGCCCAGCCTCCCTTCAACTGACTGCATGTTATACATTGCATTTGTTCTCAAGGGACCACTGGCTGCTATTAGTAAAGGATAATAACACTAAAAAATGTGTTCTAGTATTTTAAAATAGTCATCATGATAGATTAGGAACGAGTACTAAAGTACTGGCCAACATAAAGTCTGAGAAAATTATGGACTTCTGATGCCTGACCCTGGGCACCTCCTCAGCACCCAGAAACACCCATCTTCAACCGTTAAATGAGAGAAAAAGAAACTAACTTACTTAAGACATTGTTATTTTTGTCCCTGTCACATCAGCTGAGTTTGAGTTCTAACCAATCCATGCATTCAACATTTCCTAAATCAAGTTCAATTATTCAAGTACATGGATATCAGGAACTTATTATTCTCCTTCTCCTTTTTCCTAGAGCTCAGCTTTATAAAAAGTATATTATCTATAATAGAATTTTTTATAATATAAAATTATATGTAATGTATATAATTATATACATTATATATTATAATAAATATATTCTGATATATTAATTATATATTAATTATTATTAATAGAATATAACATATATTAATATGATATTATATATAATTATATATATTGAATTCCGGTCCTTAATCTTATGAAATATGTTTTTCCATGTTCATATATTTTAATATATTTTCCATATTCATTCCATATTCAATATATATAATTATATATATAATTCAATATAATTATATATTATATATAATTACATATTGTTATAATGATATTATTAATGTTATAATATATAACATTATATATAGGGTGTACCTTGACTTTAGATGTGGGCATGGAAGTTGAACTATGAGAAGGTAGGATTGGGTGAAGAAAGGCCACATCAACATGTATAAATCTAGTCACTAATTAACAGCAATTGGGCAGCTAACCAATCCTAACCATTGCTGAGCAACAAGAAGCTGATGCAGGAAGTGTAGCTCATTTTTTCCACCCTAAATGTATTAATTAATTATATATTATATATATAATTATTTTTAATATAAAAAGTATATGTTCATTTATCTAGTACAACTTTGGAAAAAGAGAAACTACATCTCCACCTTGCAGTAAGTATAGAATGGCCCATTTAAAAGTACAGAATGGATGGACAAAATATACACTACTTTGTTCGTTCTTACATCTGATATCTCTTCAAGAAGACGACTGGACTAAAAATAATTAACTCCTATTTTTTAGATCTGGAATGGCTCCTAAAGGCTCCTATGCTAAGGGTGTGGTCTCTAGCCCGGGCGCTGGTGGAAGGAAGGTAGGTCATTGGGGACCCGCCTATAAAGTGATACTGAGACCTCGGCTTCTTTCCTCCTTCCTCTCTGGCTCCCAGCCACCGCGAAGTGAACAGTTTCCTCCACCCCACGCTTTCTCACCAGGATGCACTGCCTCACTAGACAACCAAAGACAATGGGGTCAAGAGAACGTGGACTGAAATCTCTGAAAGCATGAGCCAGAATAAACCTTTTCTCCTTTAAGTTGATTTTCTCAGGTATTTTATCACAGCAATGGAAAGCTAACACATTAAGATTTCTATTAAGATCAAAACAAGATTGCTTATTCTTGTATTTGACATAATAGCTGCCCATAGACACCAGTTGACTCTAAGCTTAAATTATATTTTAAGAGTTAGAGAATAAGCTTCTTTAAGGTATCCTAGAAGGTAAATAACAAACAGCCTCCAATAATTATTTCCAAAATCCAACTAGGTTTTCTAAAATGTGTAACTCCAATACAATCAGATATCAATGTGTGTGTGTGTGTGTGTGTGTGTGTGTGTGTGTGTGTGTTTGCACCAGGAATTGAACTCAGGACTTTGCACTTGCCAGGCAGATGCTGTGCCACTGAGTTATATCCCTGGCCCTAATGCTGTGTAATATATTGAAGGATTTGCTACATTTTTCAAAAAACTAAAGAAAAAAAGGGTGACATGAGGGTAAGAGTGTTCTAACCATAAATATGTTTATCCTTAAAGTTTAGGTCAATGTCTTTTGTGATATGTGCCATAATACCAACTCTTCCAACCTGATGGTTCTCTGAATTAAAACCTAGAGGGATCTCTTTCTTTCTGCTAACCTTTTCTTAGATTCTTAGTAGATTCTTGATATTTCATAATATTAGATAAAGAAAATTGATATACAAATTGATATACATAATATTAGATAAAGACAATTGATATAAAAATATCTTTTTATCATGAACATAGAGGTGAAAAAAGATTCTGGCAAAGGAAATTAAAGGATTGATGACTACACTCAAACTTTATAAAGTGAACAAAACCTGCTGGACTTATTTCTATACATAAATTCTACAAACAAGATCAACTTTTCCTAAATAAAAGATAGTACCCATACCTTGCCCTTCTGATAGACTCTGAAATACGTCTTGAAGTAAAATGTAAACAAGATGCTTAATCAAATGTCATTAAAGCATCAACAGAGCCACATAAGTATCTCACAGGTGTACACCCAAGATAATTGAATCCTGATGATGGTAGCAACTTGTTTTCAGGAAACTATTGATTAATGATAAATATTATTATGACAATAAGTAGGATCAAGGTACAGGAACAAACCATAACAATCAGAGACTGATGGAATGGTAATTTGTTCCACTTGCCCCCACACACCTTTTTATAGGGAAATACCTCTACTCCAGGGGCTAGAGGACAGCCAGCTTTTACTCATCCACGTTTTGGAATGTATGACCCAACCTTACCACAGCTGATTAAGCCCGAACTGCTACCTCTGACTCGACACAGCAAAGAGCAGGGTCCATCACATCTCCCCTCATCTACGGAATTTAAACAACCAATATCTAGAAACTGATACTTTAGCTGTGGGCATGGAAGTTGAACTATGAGAAGGTAGGGTTGGGTGAAGAAAGGCCACATCAACATGTATAAATCTAGTCACTAATTAATAGCAATTGGGCAGCTAACCAATCCTAACTATTGCTGAGCAACAAGAAGCTGATGCAGGGAGTGTAGCTCATTTCTTCCACCCTATTGTCCTTGAGTACAGGGGAACAGAGTCTGCCTTGTTCATTACTATTTTCCCAGCACTAGTATGGTTCTTGGTTATTTAAAAAGTGAGTCATTTGATACCTATCTCCTGAATGCACAGTTAATAAACTAGCACTGATAGCTAGAACAAGCCCTTATGTGACCTTCTTTCCAGAACCCCTATCCAACACCTGGTACTGGGTGCCTTCTGCAACACAACCTTTGTTTTCATATTTCTCTGGAACCTCCAATAGTCCCCTTTATTTAAGCCAATTTACTTGCCTTCTTGAGCCTTGTGGATAAGTTTCCAAACTAATTCAGTAATAGACAGGAGGGCCTGAGCAAAAAGAGGAAAACAAAGAGAGGATTAAGAAGGAAAAATAGGAGGAGCTTAAGTGGTGGTAGAAAAAGACCATCACTGATTTTTAAGCATGTTTTTCCCAGCAAGGTATAGAAAAGACCTTCCCAACCATCTTACTGGAAGATTTGAACTGTGAGTGTGAGGGTAGAAGACTACAGAACTACAACAAACAACCTATTCTAGCAGACATTCTAGCAGATCTATCTTTAAGAGATTTTGCTCAAGAGAAGTGTTTAAACTTGGTCATGGAACTAGAAATACAACATTGTGAAAGATGTGACTAACTAGACTCCAGTTCTTATTTAATGCATGAGAGAGATGGGCCCTGGGAGGTTGCTAGAGTAAAATTTACTCAAAGAAATGGTGCATCCAACTCATAATTCTTTTCTTCATGATGCACCCATTACGATATCTTTAAGAAAAACTAAACACTTGATATTTTTCTTTTACCTATAAAGAAACTCAGGAATGGCGTGGAGGGAAATGCAACCCCAGTAAACTTTGATTTCATGAAACAATATAGTGCCCTTGAACAATAAATAAATTTCTCCCCAGGTCCGATTCATCTGATGGTATCTTTAAATGACATACAGTGCTGAGCTTTTCAGAAGCGGGTATAAGTCCAGCACATTTTCCACATTAGCAGAAATATCTGATGCCCATTGTTATCCTCATCTTGCTTCTAGTACTTACATGGAACAAGGCCCTATAGCAGTAGAATGTTCTGATCAAAAGTGGCACAATACAATTGCTAGGGAAGAGAGGAAAAGAATAAAGTACTTACTTGGTCCTAAACCAATTGAAAAAGCAGCAACATAAACAAGCAAGCTGGCTAAAGACAGCCACTTCAAAGAAGCTGGGACTTCATCAGGGTCTGTGGCTATCTGGTGTTCAGTTTGGTGTAGTCCAGCACGTGGTAAGAATGTGGAGGTCATCTCTGCTTTCTTATCCGTGTCATTTCCCATGGGCGTAAGTGAGCCCCTGCTGTGGGAAAGGATTTCTTTAAAGTGCTCTCTGAGAATATTATTGCTGGTTGATAGGTTTCCTGCTCCATGAAGCACAGGTCCATCCAAGGATTGGTTAATAGGGCTATGGCTTCTGCAGATATTGGTGAAATTCATGTGGGTGTTAAGATTCACAATACCCATTGTCAGCAATGAAGCAGCCATCATGGATGAACCAATGCAGAGGAAGGTTTTACTGCCAACATGGTCTACAAGAAGGGTGGCGGGGATGGTGCTTACAACCTTGACCACCCCAACCCCAGTGGAAGCCAGGCTAGCTGCCTCGTTACTTTCAAAGCCAACAGACTTCAAAACAGTTGATGCATAAAATAATATGTTTGGCTGTCCAGTGACTTGTACAAAAAATACCAGTGTTAGACCTATCATTATTCGAGTCCTCATATTGTCCTTGGTCCGGAACAGATCCCAAAAAGTGTACTGATACTCTTCTTTCAAGGAAGATTTTATCATAGTGAGCTCTTCAGTTGTGTCTGAGATTGCTCTTAATCTTCCAAGAACCTTGCTAGCAGCTTCCTCCTGCCCTTTCATCACCAGAAATCGAGGGCTCGGAGGGAGAAAGTACATTGCGATTGCTTGCAGAATTCCTAAGGGAATCACAAGACCAAACATATACTTCCAGCCATGGAAGACATTGGCAAATACATAATTTGAAATATAGGCGAAAAGAATGCCGATGACAATCATCAACTCATTCAGTGACACAAGGAGGCCTCTTCTGTGTTGTGGAGCAATTTCAGCAATGTATACACAGGTAGCGATGGAAGAGAGGGAAATGGAGACTCCAATGGCAATGCGTCCCACGATGAGAATTACGTAGGACAAACTGAGGATCAAGACTAAGCTTCCAAGTCCAAGTAGACAAGATGACACAATGATTGCAGTCCTTCGTCCATATCTGTCTATCAGAACTCCTCCAGTGAGAGAGGCGAGGAAGGCCCCAATGAGCAGGGAGCTCACAATCATTTCCTGCTCATGACAGGTCAGGGACAACAGGGTTCTGATCTGGAGAAGAGCCCCTGAGATGAGCCCAAGTTCATAACCTACCAGGAGGCCACTGAGAGCTGCGGTGACAGATGTCAGGAAAGTAAACATGCTGCAACCTACAAGCAGAGAGGAGAAACAGAGAGGTCAGTTCTGTTAGTTTAAACATCTCCTTTTCAAATAGTTACTTAGACCTGTGTAAGTATTTTGTAACATAGAGTTTAAACACGACTATAGAAAATAATGCACTAACCAAAGGTAATTAGCTATACTTGATCTTAGCCAAAAGGCCAAGAAGCAATAGTGATTAGCTATAGATGGAAATACCAGTTTTACTGTGTTGGCAGAGAGGTGTGGCGACATTTAGGAAATCCGGTTTCCTTCTTTCTATGATGTGGTGTTTTTGGTTAAGAGCACACAACTATGTGAGATAGGATGACAGATAAGAAAGACCAAGCAAACAAGAATGTCATTTAGTATGGGCCTTGGCCCCAGAAGGAAAATTCATATACCCTGGCTCTTCTAGCTCCACCCCAGCTCTCTGAGAGGAAGCCTCTTTGGTGAAGCAGCAAGCACAGCGACCTCCTGGAGGCCTACTGTTCCCTGCTGGATGACCAGCTGTAGTGGGTGTGCAGTTGGCTTCTGCTTATGTAAGGCACGGCTTTAGGGCAAAGGGTGAAAGTGGGAGATGTGTGAACGTGGTAACAAAGTCAAGGCTGTGTCAGAAAGAAAGGGAGATCTGGATGCAGGGTCGGGAACTAGCGACACTCCTTACTCACTCATGGTAAGATGGAAGAGAAAAGAGTGAATGAGCTGGGGATATAGCTCAGCAGCACAAGTGCCTGCCTGGCAAGCACAAGGTCCTAAGTTCCATTCCTGGAACCAAAAACAAAAATGTTTTTAAGAGTGAATGAGAACAAGAGGACTTTACATGTTTCTCTTTTTTTAAAATGTTAAAATTCTAGGAAAAATATCAAGTTACTAACTAACTTTTGGTAAAAGACAAGTAGCTATGTGTCATATATCAAAAGATCAAGGGGCTGAGGATTTAGCTCAGTGGCACAGCGCCTGCCCAGCAAGTGCAATATCATGAGTTCGATCCCCGGTACTGGAAAAAAAACCAACCAAACAACCAACCAAACAAAAAAACAAAGGATCATAAGCTTGAGGCCAGTCTCAACTTACTTAGACCATGTCTCAAAAACAAAACAAAAGCAAGCAAGGAAAAAAACAAACAAGAAATGAAACAGAAAGTGCAGAGGGGAGAGCATTCCACCACCCGAGTGCCGCTTCCAGGGCCGAGGGCAGGAAAGCTTGGGTCACATCTCAGAAACTGTCAGATGGCCCAGCACACAGTGTGTGGGGTTCAAGGGGAGGCTGGACAGGTAGCTGGGAGAGACCAGAGAGTGAATCTGCATTTTGAACATACCAAAATCTTCTATTTGTTTTACTCTTAAGATACTGGGGTAAAAACACCCAGTGAGGGATTGGATCTGTTGGAGTACAAAAGGTAGCTCAAGGCTGGAGGCAGGTATGAGGGAGTCAGTAGCATGTATTTGGTGTTTAAAATCATGCAAGTGGCCTAGTCATTTAGAAAGACAGATGGAGGAAAAGGAGAAGTGAGGTTAGGACCAAGACCTTAGGAACTCCAATATTTAGTACAGGAAACATCAGGAAAGGAGATGGAGAAGCAGAAATGAGACAAAAGGCAGATGGGGTGGAAACAAATGCTTGGGTATCAAGCTCATAAGCTGAGTTCAGGCCATTAAAGTGAAAACTAAAAAGAACAAACAAAAAAGCTCTGGTAATGGAGATGGTGGCTGTACCAGTGAGACACTCTGCTTCCTCAGAAGAGGAGGGCTCGGGTTGATCCTACTGTTGAAAACAAAGAAACATTTATGAACAGAGTTGAAGTTAAAGTAAAGATCCCTAAAGAGCTAAAACCGTGGCTTGTTGATGACTGGGACCCAATTACCAGGAAGAAACAGCTCTTTTATCTTCCTGCCAAGAAGAATGTGGACTTCATTCTAGAGGACTATGCAAATTATAAGAGATCTCGAGGAAACACAGATAATAAGGAGCATGCTGTTAATGAGGCTGTAGCAGGGATAAAAGAATACTTCAGTGTGATGCTGGGCACTCAGCTCCTCTACAAATTTGAGAGACCACCGTCTGCTGAGATCCTTGACGATCACCCTGACATACCCACGTCCCAGGTGCACAGAGCACCACATCTACTGAGATTATTTGTACAAATTGGAGCAATGTTGGCTATGCACCTCTGATGAGAAGAGCCTTGCTTTATTACTGAATTATCTTCATGATTTCCTCAAATATCTGGCAAAGAATTCGGTAATTTGCTTAGTGCCAGTGATTATGAAGTGGCCCCTCCTGAGGGCCATAGGAAAGCAGAGTGAGGCGCTCTCACCCATGTTTGGATCTCTGTCCACACGTTTTTGTTCCTAGTCTTTCTCTTGTACAAATGATGTACTTTGAAGATGTTAGTGTATAACAGAGTTGATGTTTGTTTTGTTTGATTTTAAACAGGTAAAAGGAAGTTTCAGCTCCTTTTTTCTTTTTTTTTTTCATTTCAAAGTTGCTACCACGGGGCTGGGGATTTAGCTCAGCGGCAAAAGCGCCTGCCTGGCAAGTGCAAGGTCGTGAGTTCGGTTCCCGGTACCGTAGAAAAAAAAAAAAAAAAAAAAAAGAAAAAAAAACAAAGTTGCTACCAGTGTATTCAGTGATAGACACCAGAGAGTCAATGGTGTAGATGTTTTATTGCCTAGTTGACAAAGCTGCATTTGAATGCTGGTGGTTCTATTCCTTTGACACTATGCACTGTTATAATACATGTTAATGCTGTATGACAAAGTGCTCTGATTCCTAGTGCCAAAGGTCCAATTAGGTGTATATCACTGAACACACTCATCCATTTGTGCTTTTTTCTTTTTAACAGTGCTTAAAGAGCCCATCTTTTGCAAGTCATCCATGTTGTTCCTTAGTTTTATCTTTGCTCAAGTTGTTGAAGAATGCTGAATTGTTTCATGGTTTTTGTATTTGTGTCTAGTGCGCGTTTTAACATGATAGATGTAATGCATTGTGTAGCTACAGTTTTCTGGAAAAGTCTGTCTTTTAGGAATTGTTTTTCAGATCTTCAATAAATTTTTTCTTTAAATTTCAAATAAATAAATAAATAAATAAATAAACAATAGGCCAGATATTTTCCTAGATGTTAAAATATGGCTGCATGTAGTGAAATAAAACACATATGGTCCCTGCCTTCAAAAAACTTAACCATCTGGTAGTACCCCTATTATCTATTACCTTTTATGCCCTATTTTTACACACACAATGACTCAAAGTACTCTCTTACAGAACTATTTGTGTCCTCAGTTTCCACACTTTCTTTTCCTCCTATGATCTTAAAGCCTCCATCAATAAACTCCTTTACCCCAAGGAAAATTAGGTAGAATCTTCTCATTTGGATAAAGTTATGGCATTAGTCTTCCCTCTACTTGCCATTGTTCAGTTAATCAATGTTTGATGTATTGATGTGTTGGGGGGGCAATTGGTAATTGGTCGCCAAGATTCTGACTGGAGAAATAAATGATGTAGAGAATGAAATTCTTAGGAGGCAGATCAAGTGAGGCCCCAGGAAGGGCATTTGAAGTGGCTGCAGACAGCAGGGGACACTGAGTTATAGATGTAAGGAAATCAGGCCAGAATTGCTTGAGTTGCAGGAAATATCCTGTCACCTTCCCCACCTTCCCCTTCATTATTTTTCCCTTTTACTAGAAAGGAAAGAATTTTTCTTTACAAAAACAAAGACTCCCAAAGACTCAAAGATTCAAGATTCTCTTCCTTTGATGCTCTGTTGTCCTGTCTTAGCAATAGCTGGAGTTCAACAGGGGAGAGGGAATAGAAAGCCAGTGTTTTATAGTCTGGGGACCTACTCTTGACTGAAGAGAGATCCGGCCTCTGCTACTGCTTTCCAGACCTACGTCATTTGCCTGGTCTTTTAGTAAGGAGGCCTAGGACACTGACAAACAGGGATGTGTGCAAAGGGTCTGGATACACCCCAGTTTGTCAGCGCCCCTCTTGGGACCCAGAGCCTAGCACTGAGTATAACTCACCAGAGACATAGTGAGAACATTTCCATATATTAATTGTTAAAAACATTTTACTTTAAATTTTATGTATTACAACACATTACTTTTCTTGTTATCTATTTTATCTATCTCTAGACAATTTGCTTATCAAAGCAAGGTTTTATGCTACAGAATTAAGGTAAGGTCTTAGCTGTCTGAGTTTCACTTATCTTCCCCCTTGTATGGTTTAAGAGATGTTGCCCCAAGTTAGTATCCTTACTCACCTTTCTATGGGGACTTAGAACTCCTGAAGTCTCACCATGGGCTGTCCCTTTGAGGTTCGAAATACTGATTCACTGTGTAAGGCTATCCCTAGGGCTTTCAAGCTGCAGCCCCAAAATACCTCAAGACATCCACCAGAAAGATGTTTTCCTGGTGCCACCTTCCCACAGAAAAATCCATGAGGAGAGACATAAAGAGTGGGCTTTTTTCTGTGTCTACTTTTTGGTTAATGATGATGATAATAGACACAAAATCATATCCTATGGATGTCAGGAAGTAGAGATGATTTTTCCAAGAAATCTAGCAGTGAAGGGAAACAAAGAGATAGGCTGTGATTTGAAACAGCAGCACGAAGATTGGGTTTGTTTGCCTAAACATTGATGTGAGAGCCAGGTGGACTGAGGCATAGCGGGCAGGGCTGCCGGAGAGGGTCAATAAGCATTTGTAATTAGTTTTCTTCAAAAAGTACCCAGCACTGAAGTCAGTTAGCTCTTGACACAATGATGACATGTAATATGGCCAGCCATTCTGCTCATGGCCTTGCTTCCCAGGGTTCCTTCTTTTAGATTCCTGTTCTCCCCAAAAGTGCACAGGAAGGTGGCACCACAGAGCAGGAGACTCTTGAACAGAGGAACAGTGCAGGCTGCTGATTCTGTTTATCCCCTGTGACTTTTGGTCACTTTGCTAGAAGAGGAGCAGCTGCAAAAGGAAGATCTCCAATCTCTTTTGAGGCCATGGCAAGTCTTTAT